ACTGAAATCCATTGAAAATATTGACGGATAGCGCTCTTGTTCCCCCCCCTCCCCCCCCCTCCCTTCGTCGGTATATACGCAGATGAAATGCGAGTCGCACGCCCAAGAATCTGTTCGATTTGAATATATGCAGAACTCGAAACGTAGGTAACTCCCCGCAGCCCGCGAATCTACAAGGTGGCGAGAAAAAGTCTCAAGCCACAAAGTTTTACGTTCATCAAATCGCTAGTAAATATATATTTACAAAAAAGCAAACTTTGCAGTTTGGAGTGTCAGTTGTTGTATCTTATTAAATACCAAAAAGATTCCGCACCACAGGATTTCCATCAGAGCGGTGAACTAAAGTTTACTTTAATAATTTCACAGACACCAAATTTTACCACCAAACTCTTTTGTCACCCTGTATTATACGTATACAAAATATTAAGTCCGCAGCATCGATGCTCAATCGAGGCAAGAAATGTTCAAACGTCTACACATCTTTGCAAATATATTGTAATTTACGATACGAATGAGACGTATGAATAATTCAAATATGAACAGGTGGTTAATTCAACTGAATTATGGATGGTAAAAATATATCCAATGCCAAAAATATTATCGATGCAAGTTGTAGGTAAACCCTAATCGACTGATTGCGAGTAAATAGCGGTCGCACATCGGGAGAGGTGTGAAAAAGAAAAAAAAAAAACACGTATCATTTAATAATTTCTAGTTGCGAAAACTCACAACGTGCTATAACTCTTCGCGATCTGCTGCGTACATTAGCCGGAGAAAAACTGTGTTTGCTTACATGCAGCATAAACATCCGGGGCGCGGAACGTTCCGGGGGGTGAAAGGAGAGACCAGGGGGCGGTCGTGTATTTTATGTGCGACGACGTAGAGACAGTTAAGGCGAAGAAAAAGGCACGCACGCGGCCAGGACTGTAGTACAATTTTCCGTCGCGCAAGTAAGCCGCTTACGAAAAGCGGGCTCGAGTCGCCGTTTCTCATGTTACCTGGCGCGAGTTATAGCAGCGTATGTATGGACGTCCGACGTACACACACACACACACACACGCACGCACGCACGCACGCACGCACGCACGCACGCACGCACGCACGCACGCACGCACGCACGCACGCACGCACGCACGCACGCACGCACGCACGCACGCACGCACGCACGCACGCACGCACGCACGCACGCACGCACGCACGCACGCACACACACACACACACACACAGACAGACACACACTGGCGAACACGGCCGCGTCTCGCCGGCAAAGAAAAACGTTTCGTGCGCGATCGTTCGTTTTCACCGAGATTCCGCGAGTTCGCTGAGACCCGCTGAATATAATGCTACGGGAAAGCTCCGCGAAGTCTCGCTATCACCGAGTGTCAAATACGATAATTATGATACTTGAAACACATATACTTTCGTAAATTCGCACGTATACCAGAATCTCTTCGTGTGAGAACCAATTGATATCAAATTTAATAGTATTAATAATATTAAAGAGTATTTGAATAGTAGTTAATTATTTTTCCAAATAAAAAAAAAATGGTATTGATCATCGATGTTAACTCTATATCTTAATTTTCATAGAGCAGATCCTTTTTGATTTAAAAACAAAATTTCCTTTGAAAAAGTTTAGCAGGAGAGCCTCGTGAAAAAGCATTCTGTTTATTATTTTGAAGAATAAAAATGAAAAAAACCGTCAAAAAACAGGAATACATTAAATAGGAAACATATCTCTCGCCGTGACGCAATAACATGAAATGTCATAAAGAAACTAGAAGTCTTGTATCTACAGTTAGAAAATGAATACACTTTTTATCGTACTGATGGTTCCATTGCTTTCTTCTAGATATTTAACAACTTTTATCTAATCGTTAACGAATTTGAACGTATGTCATGATAGATAAAAAATAAAAGCGCGTGATTACGATAATCCGATAAATTTCACTGAAATCAACAGCTGTTAGAATCAACGCACAGAATGTTTCAGAAAGCAGATTTTAAAAAATGTTACGAATAAGTTTATACGTGAAATATATAATAAATTGTCACATCTATATAAAAGAGATGTGTCAATTCTTCAGCTTTTATCTTTATCCAGGCAGATTCTTTTCATAAATTTATTGGATTTATTTGTTCGTTCGCTTATTATACTTTACGTGTGTGCGACATTTGAAATATTTCAATTTTCATGTACAGACAGTTTTTATTAATCTGGAATTTTATATTCATAATTTTAATACATCATTTAATAAACGAATCAGTTTACTTACAGTTCTCATACGTTAGTATATTTTTCATGATTATTTCATATATTTTTATTACAAAGTAAAAGGGGAAAATCGATATTCTATTTTATAAGTTAATAGATATTGTCTTTAAATCGAACTTAAAAAAATTAAATTTAAAACATATTAAAAAATATATATATATATTAACGTTGAACATTAATACAATAATATATACACAATACTATATTTGGAAAAAAATTATATGTATGCTTGTTAGGAAAAAAATATGGCAGATAAAACTATACATTTAACATATTAACATCATAGTATTAAATTACTCGGGCAAAAATTGCTTCGCCGAAGAAAATATATCGTTCAAATAAGAATCAATGTGTCACTGCTGAATCAGATCGTGCTTGTTATTGATACAGAACGTATCGTATTGGCAATATCGCCGCGGCGCCGACGTAAAATTTTGATCGGGAAAAACGAGAGAGGCTTAGTTTTCTCAATAATTATTACGCAGAGCTGGCAGGCACAACTAACGTTCAGATATTTCTCTTTCTCTCGTGACTTCTCTCGCGTGCTCGAGAGCCTCTGTCTCTCTCATTCTTTTTCTTTCTCTCATTCTGCCGATCGAATCGATATACGTGCACGAATGCGGCTTCGAGCTTCGTCCACTTCTTCTTTCACGTGACTACCGCAGGAAAGAAGGCCGACCGAATCAATATCTCACACAGACATTTCGACCTCGTCCTCGTCGTTGTCTCTACTAGCTCCTCGTACCCTTCAAAGGTCGTTCTCATTATCCGACAATGACTCGAAATCTGACGGTGCAAAACAAAGCTCTGAATCTCTAATTAATCTGCCTTTTTATACAGTACTTCGACCGACGCACGCAAAACATTCGTTGCGTATCTATCGCATGCATGTGAGAGCACGTGCACCGAATGTGAGCGCGCAGGAAGCATGGACGTTCAATTATAGCACGTTCAATGTATGAATTGACACTTTGCACGTATTAAGTTACGTGGGACCTTAATAAGCATTTCGCATTTGACACTTTCGAGAAACCAATTTCGAGTATCGTTAAAAATTGCAGCAGAAACTGCATGAAAATTAAATTAGAATATTAACGATTCGCGAGAGACGGCATATCATGTTAAACAACCTTGGAATGTTTGCGTTTCTCTATTCTATTTCTGTTATTCGATAAATATTTAATGCCCTCTTGTTTCACAACTTTCAAAGTCTAATAAACCCAAAGTGAGTTTTTACACACACACGTGTAAACACACTGTAGTAAAAAAAACTAAATTAATTAAAATAAGATGTTATGAATATTATATGATTTGCACGTTTAATGTTGAATCTTTCACAAAACACTTTAAATTTCAATATTGAACATATCGGAAAATTAATTAAGAATTCAATAAATTTATCAAACCATTATTTAATTCTTCCTAATATAAGAGTGTATATTTATATTATACATAAACACACACACACACACACACACACACACACACACACACACACACACACACAGCATTTTCATAAAGCGCAAAATAAAAATTTAAAATAAAAAAAATAGATCTCGTTTCAATTTGAAAATAGCCACATGCCAGATATTAACCAGAGATGTGGTTTTGGTATTGCGAGCTTTTACTTGGTTGGGCGGTTCATTTATAACATTACCATTATAATGCACCGGTTGGATACGTGATTGCGGTCGATTGGACAAATTCGTCGACGGTATACCAAGCGAGAAGCAACGATTCGATCGACAGAGGATGAGCGTATGCATAGAGAGGGAACGAGAGAGAAAGTTACATAAATGGAGAGACACTCGTACACAACGCCGGAGATGAGAGAGAGAGAGAGAGAAAAGAGAAGAGGACAAAGAGTGGTGAGGTAGAAAAAATGATTTTTAACATTTCCGATAGATTGCACCTGATTACCCGGATCGTACGAGCGGGCACATGCAATTCTGCACGCGGATAGTTGTGTGCGTGTATGCATGAGCACGCTCGTTCATTCGATAGGGCGCCCTTTGTGCGCGAGACCGAGAGTAAAATAAAAAAAAAA